GATCGCCTAACCAAGATAGTTCATTTCTTACCGGTCAAAGATAAATATCGAGCGAAGCAGTATGCAAAGCTTTATCTTGATAGAATCTTCAGTCTGCATGGGGCACCCAAGACCATTGTCTCTGACAGAGGGTCATTGTTCATATACAAGTTTTGGAAAAGTCTACATGAGTCTTTGGGAACTAAACTTATCCGTAGTTCTGCTTATCATCCGCAAACAGATGGACAGACGGAAAGGGTAAATCAAATTCTTGAAGATATGTTAAGAGCATGTGTTCTCTCCTATGGTGCTATATGGGATGAATGCCTTCCCTTAGCTGAATTCTCATATAACAATAGCTATCAAGAGAGCATTAAAATGGCACCATTTAAAGCATTGTATGGCCATAGATGCCAGACACCTTTACATTGGTCAGATGTTGGAGAACATTGGTTCTTTGGACCGGATGTGGTCAAGGAAGCAGAAGAGAAAGTTAAACTCATATAAGCTAATATGAAGGTAGCTCAATCCCAACAGAAAAGCTATGCTGATAAGAGGAGGCGACCGCTAGAATTCATAGTGGGAGATCATGTCTACCTCAAGGTATCGCCAATGAAAGGAGTTCATCATTTTGGCATTCGGGGAAAGTTGGCGCCCCGTTATGTCGGTCTGTTTCAAATCCAACAATGATGTGGACCAGTCGCCTATCGCGTCAAGCTAGCAGATCACATGTCAGCTGTGCATGATATTTTCCATGTATCCCAGTTGAAGAAGTGTCTTCAAGTACCTGACCAAGTGATCGACTTTGGTGATGTAGAACTAGAACCTAATTTGACTTATGCTGAGTACCCCATTAGAGTCTTAGATCAGAAAAATCGAGTCACTCGAAGACGTACAATCAAGTTCTACAAAGTACAATAGAACTAGCACACTGAAGAAGAAGCTACTTGGGAGTCCGATGATTACTTAGAAGAAAACTTTCCTGACTTCTTTGCTTCTCTCTAGTTGCAATACCTTGTCTATATTGTAACTTGTCTCTTTTGTCAAAAGAATGGAAAACCCCCTCACTAGTCTTTTGAATAAAGTTATGATGTGTTAGCTTGACACATTTCCTTTTCCATTACTTAATCCTAAGTTTTAAATCTCGGGATGAGATTTCTTTAAGGGGGAAGGGTTGTAACACCTCTGGTGTTTTGACCTATCATTAAAATTTGACATGTCATCATATGCATTGCAAAGCATTCATAAAGTAGAAAATGTTGAATGCATTCACTAAATAAGCTTTATTTCATAATGTTGTTATTTTATGTGATGTGATTCAAAACCCTAAATAAAGATCATGACCACAAGAGTCAAAATTCATGTGATCATGTGAGACCATGTGTTAATTGACTCAAATAACCCTAATGGGCCATGTTACTGGTCAAAAATCAAAGTTAAGTCAAAAGGTAAACAAATTAAATTTGAATTCAACTTCAAATTATAAAAGTTCTTTTTGCCCCTTTTGTATATTTCAAAATCCATTAGGAATTTGGGGGTGTGACAAAAAGCAAAGTTGAAGCTTATTTTATAAGGATCAACTTTGGTATTCAAAGTTTTTAAAGTTTACATATAAAGTTTGGAGTAATTTTGAAATGATTCAAATGCTCAAATGCACCCCAAATTCAAATTTTAAAATGGAGGAAGAATTTGAAAATATTCCTTGAAGCAAAGTTGTAGAGTTTGAAAAGTTGAGCAACTTTCATTTTTGGAGATTTTCATCTTCTTTAGAAAATTTGAGAGTAATTTACAAAATGAACTCAGTGGCAAATCTGTAATTATTCGGAACAGTAGCACGACCACCGCCCCACCGCTGGCGTCCTTTCTCCGGTCTTCCAGGCGCGTCTGCGACCACCCTTGGCTTCGCGATGGCGTGGGGAGAACGCTGCGTGTCGATTCCGCGCGCTCCTGGCCGAGCTATAAGACCTAGACGTCGTCGTTGGCTTTTCTTTCTTTCCCTCTGTTTTCGCGACGCCGCCGTCTCAACTCCGCCGAGCTTCTCTCGTCTCCCTAGCACAAGATAGCCCAGGAAAAGCCATGTCCTAGTTCCGCCTGCTCCTTGCGCATCTGACCGAGCTGTTGCTACCGCTTGATTTCGCCAAGAGCTCGCTGTCCACATTCATCTTCCTCGCAGCCGGCGACCTCGACCGAAACTCCGATTCACCGTGGCCAGCATCGTCCGGTGAGCTGTTGCCCTTTCTTGTTGACTCTACAGCTTCATCTCGACGCTGTGATGCTTAATCCGTTCTTGCTTGGTCATTTTGCTCACTGCAGTCACTGAAACTCCATCGCCGACGAAGTTTGCTCCGCCGTGACCGCTGTCATCGTCGACCCGCGTCACCGTAGCTCCTCCGGTCTCGTTCTTTGCTTCAACAAGTTCGGGGTGAGCTGCTGATCCTTTCTAAGTCTTTTGTTTGATCTCTACTGGCTTTGTTTTGCTGGCGTAGCGATGTTGTGCCACCGCGTCCGCCATGGCCGGCGTTAGCCTTGTTCCGTGTCGTAATCAACCTCCGTAGTGCCACAGATCGATGTGCCTAGTCGTTGTGAACGTTTTGGTGCTATGGCCGTCGCTGTTGGGCTCACCGGCGGCGAGTTCGCGTCGGTCAGCGCCGTTGTCGCCGCGGTCAAAGCCGAAGCTTAGGGATGACAAGTGGGTCCCGTATGTCAGCGACTGTATAGTTCAAATGGAATTTTTTAATTTTCAGAAATGGATGAATAATGTATCTGTTTTTGTTATATTTGTGTAGATTTGTTAAAGCTCCAAAAATTATGAAAATTTTTGTGTGACCTCTCTGTGATGAATATTATTTAGGAAAAATATGAAACTTGAAATTTGAATAAATTTTTAATATTCAAAAATTCAGTCAATTAATTGATAAATGCAATTTCCATAATTTTTGTAGGTCTCGGTATAGTTCCAAAAATTATGAAATTTATTTTGGAACACTAATTTGTCATGAGGAAGCTTACATAAAATTTTGAGGTCATTTGGAACAAGTTTATTTTTGGGCTTATTTCCAAATTAATTCAAAAATGAATAAAAGCAAACCCTAAGTGTTAGGGTTAGGGTTTGATCTTGTTTGGGTCATGTTGTGTGATCAGTAGGGTTTCAAGATCAATTTGGTCAAGTCGATTAGGTCATAAACCCTAGATGTTAGTGTCAAGTAGTTTTGTTGACTTGCAACTATACCGCGAAGTAAAATTGTATTCAAGGTGTTATTATATTTCATGCACCATGAAAGCATCATGTTTACATTATCATCATGTTGAAGCATATGTTATTATTTCGTGTAGAATCCGAGAGTGAAACGATTCTAGTTGAGCAAGTTGTGGAAGAATCCCCGGTTGTCACGGGATTCGATAATTGTGGTACTGATCCGGAACCCGAGATCGTCAACGAAGGCAAGCCTCGGTTTATGCATTAAACCATTACCTTGTTTACTTTGAAAAGTTTATCACCTATGTTACTTATTGCATTAAGTTGATTTATTCAAATGTTACCTACTTGATGCATTGCCTACCTTGTTAATTGTTTACCATCCTTGAAGATGATTTCATTTACAAAGGCGTAGAATTGCTTAGTATGCTTTGTGGTAGGCTTTCAAAGTAAAAGTTTGGATACAATCAAAGATGGCATACTGGCCAAAGAAAGAAAGAAAGAAGATAGAATGAACTAGAGATTAGTCGGGTGGCTTATCTTGAATGTTGGGTAATGTTGCCGACTATGTCGCTTAAAGGCCACTCATTGTGGATCTTCTAAATGAGACACTTTGTAGTCTTTGGTCACATACTCCGATAAGCCTACTTGGCTAATCCAATACTAAGACGAATGCCCACGACCTTTGGGAGTGGAGATGACGGGAGTAGCATGTACCCCGTGGCTAGAATGTGGCGGATTTGATGTGTGATGTGCTCTCGGGTGGCGTGGAGATGGCTTAGTATGGGAGGATCCGGTAGCGAGGTTGATATATGCAAGATTAAGTTCTACATATGTCGTGTGATAAGGAATCCCTATTTGGGACTTGAATCAATTGAATTACCGGTGCTCATGGATATGGAGACTCGACGATTCATTCTGAAGCAATGCAGGACTGGTGAATTACTAAAACATGAGAAAAAGAATGGAATGAGAAGGATTGGAACAGGGGATATGAACACTTGGTTGGAGATAATGAACTAAAGTACTTAGGGGTAAAACTTGAAACTAGGATCAAGAATAGTAAGCTTTTGGCAAAGAACTTTTGAATCTTTCTACATCCTTACCTTGACCCAACACCTGCATCCCTAAGACCTTCGCCCTTTTTGGTCGGGTCAGTCTTGTTGAGTACTTTTGTACTCAGGGTTTGTTAACCCTTGTTGCAGGTGTGTCGCATGCGCAGGCTTGTTTTGGTCCCTACTGCATGTCAGTGTTTGAAGTTGATGACGATGAGGAATGATGAATGGCCTTTGGACAAGGCACTAGTTTATGTGAAATAAATAATGTTAATGTAATATTATCCCGCTACTATGGTTGTATGACACTTATGGTTTTGTAAGTTTGAAACAACTTGTTTGTAATATTAAAACTTAAGTCTTCCGCTTTATAATCTCTGGTATGTATAGTGAAAACTGTTGTAATCTGCAATGACCGTGATTGGGATCCTGTTTGTAAAAGATTCGTGGATGATTCGGGTTTCCCGAGGACACCCGACAGACTTGTTAAGTTGTTGGAAACTCGTGTACGCTATCAGTGGTCTGTTGAGACATCGATAGGTGAATCTGGTCCCGATTTCTTAGGAGGTTCTGCCACGTATGACCTAAGCCAATGCATTCATCTTCGCTACATAAAAATTATTGCTTATGATCAAGTGCAACTCCCGGAAGCCTTGGGTAGGCTCTACCATTTGCAAGTGCTGGATGTAGGAGGAACCACTGGTGATCTGACAAGAAATGTCTCTAGTGGATACAATGAAACATCAGCTCCAGCATGGTTGGCAAAACATATGTTCCTCACTTCCCTGCGTTGTCTCTATCTTGATAACTGCAAGGGATGCAAAGATCTTCCATCATTTTCACTGTTTCCAGCACTTAAGAAACTGCATTTAATCAGCTTGCTTGAGTTGCAAAGTGCTTCTTTAGAGGAAGTGATATTATCTGATATGCCAAAACTAGAGAAATGGAGTTCCTCTGAAAAGTACCAACTAATAGATGATCTACAGGTACTTGAAATATGCAACTGCCCCATACTGAGATACTTGCCTTTACCACCTACATGTAATTCTGCAGTAGCAAAGTACCGCCAACTCCAAAGTGTGGTGATTAAGGGTTGCCCTTGCCTGATAGGATTACCACCACTTCCTCTGGGTCCCAAAATTAAGCTGTTGGTTGAGGATGTACAATCATTTCCATGTAGACGCATGTCCTACAGCGCAGATACCAATCCAAGCTTGCTCTTAATGGGGAAGGATGATCTGAGAGTACTTGATGGAAATGTTATATCATTTCAAAATCTAGCTTCTTTGCAAGAGCTCTCCATTGATACATGTCCAAGCCTCACAAGCATCTCATGGCAAGGACTTCACCAATTTAGCATATTGAAGGATCTGACAATATATCATTGCCCAAACCTGCTCTCAGTGCAGATGATAGAAACAGAGCGAACGCTTGCTAATGCTAAGGGACTTCTTCCATCACTCCAGAGGCTTGAAATCTGGTCGTGTGGTATCACTGGAAAAAATCTATCTTGTTTACTGTCACATGCACCAAATCTTTCTTTCCTGAAGCTAAAAGACTGTCAGCGGATCAGAAGGTTGACTGTACACCAACATGCAGATCAAGGCAGCCCAATTTTGCTACCTGATGGTGCAGCAGCTGATGGGTTGTTGCACATCCATCCACGTTCAGTGTCATCACTCCAAGAGTTGTGCTTTGACAGCTGCCCAACAATATGTGAAAATGGGGAGGGTCTCCGGGGGCTCATCACACTAAAAAAATTGGAGATATATGAGTGCCCAAGGTTCCTTTCTTACATAGTGTTTCAAAATGAAGATATCCATCATGTTGAAGGTACATGTCTCCTTCCATCATCACTGCAAGTGCTCAAGATAACCAAGGCAGAGTGGAAATCAATGTTGCTCCATGGACTCACTGCCATGGAGAGCTTATCCATTTGCCACAGCAAACTAGAAGCTCTTCACATGGAATCCTCTACAAAATTGAAGTACATTCAAGTTCTTGCATGCACAAAGCTCACCTCCATACAAGGTTTGCAATTATGTGCTGAGCTCAAAAAATTGGAGGTAGTCTTTACCCATGGGTTTTGGAGAGCTTGGGATCTTGAGCTGCAAAGAGAGGGAGAAAGCAACAAATTACTGCTTCCAGTGGAACTCATCCACACGAGTGATAGTTCAATGCTTACTTTGTCAATATGCAAGCACCTTGATCACCTTAGGAGGTTAGAGTTTCGTTGCCTATCCAATAAACTAGAAACAGAGCAGGAGAAAGCACTTCAACAGCTCACCTCACTCAATGAGCTACAATTCTTTGAGTGTGATTGTGACTTCTCCGTACCAGCAGAACTACATCAGTTTACATCCCTCAAGAAGTTAGAGCTCATGAACTGTTCGACTATTTCATCATTTTCCGAGAGAGGCCTGCCGCCTCGCTTGGAGCATTTGGTAATTATTGATTGCAAGGATCTCGAGTCATTACCTGCTGGAATATATGAAAATTCCTTTCTGAAGAAATTGGAGATGAAGTCCTGTCCACGAATTCGATCACTGCCAAGAGGGGGCCTGCCAGCTTCTCTTCGAGAATTGAGGTTTGAAAAATGCAGTAGTAAACTGCAGGAGCATCTCCAGAGTATGGATAAAGCTGACATGGTCATAGTATGGTCATGAGATGATTTCTGTGGCGTAGAAGATACTAGAGCTTTTATTTCCTCAAGAGCCACCTAGCCAGTGAGCTGTTATCCTGAAAGCCAGGTTTGATTTTATAACTCAAACATGTTTTTATGCTTAGCAAATCATCTACATTATAACATGGGAATTCATTATTAGTAGAAGTAGAATAACATCAATGACATGAGGTCCAATGCACCAACTAGATGTGTGCTCTTCACATTGATAAACCAGCGGGTAGCAAACAATTGCAGGCTTCAGTTATTTGCCATATCTTTACTTCTTTATTAGTAGAAAAAACATTATCAGATTACCTTTCCTATAAAATATCCTTGAGATTAACTTTTCATATGAAATGCCATTGACAAATATATCATAATAATGGTTAAAATGTATCCTCAAACTGATGAAGATTTGTGTCGGGGACCAATACCAGGGTACCCGAAGAGGAGGAGCTAATAACCATCAACATTGATTAGTCCGAGCAGTCAAGAGCGCGATTACAGCTCCACCCGACCTCCAGGTGCGCAAACTCCGCCTCGCCTGACCCCTGAGGGTTGGCTCCGCCTCGCCCGACACCGAGGCTGCGGGCTCCGCCTCGCCTGACCCCTGAGGGTGGTTCCGCCTCGCCCGACACCGAGGCCGTGGGCTCCGCCTCGCCCGACACCGAAGGCCGCGGGCTCCGCCTCGCCCGGCCCCTGAGGGTGGCTCCGCCTCGCCCAACACCGAGGCCGCGACCTCCGCCTCACCCGACCCCTGAGGGTGGCTCCGCCTCGCCCGACACCAAGGCCGCGGGCTCCGCCTCGCCCGACCTCTAGGTGTTGGCTCCGCCTCGCCCGACCTCTAAGTGTTGGCTCCGCCTCGCCCGAGCCTTGGGTTTGCACTCCGCCTCGCCTAGCCTCTGGGGAGGAACTCTGCCTTGCCCGACCCCGAGGCTAGGGGCTCCGTCTCGCCCAACGGAGACCCATACCGCCGCCAACCACTCCAGGTCCAAGTGTATGGGACTGGGTCAAAGCTCTGACACCAGCGAAGTGACTGGCGCCCCGATTTAACCCGTGGCCATGACGGGCCATACCTGGGGATTCACGTTAGGAACAGCGCCGAACGTACCGGTGTTGTTCTACCTAACCCCCGTACGAACACTGACGGGCGCATCAATTCACCACGACGTCTGCCAGGATGGAGTGGAGCGCCATGATCGGTAGACGACGCCTGAACATGGCGCCAGTGACGGACAAGGCCACGACGAGAAGCTGTCCCTGTTGATGTCTACATGATCAGCAAGACCCGCATAGAGGAGAAGAAGGACCCGGTGATCCTGAAGGACTTCTTCCTCTCGTTCTCTTCTTTTCCTCCAAAAAAACCCACGCTTTCTCTTGACCTATAAAATAGAAAGCAGGGCGTCCCATTAGGGGCATGGAACTCATCACAACACACTACAGGAGACTTGAATCCGATCAACTCATCAAACTCTGAACACACAACCGAGCTGCGACCAAACTCTCGGCACCCGTTCATCCTTTCCATCAGAGACTTAGGACCTATCCCTCTCTCGACCGTTTGTAACCCCTACTACAAACTTTCAGTGCTAGTAACATGAGCAGCAGCAACGAACTGGACATAGAGACATTCTGCCCGAACCAGTATAAACCTCGTGTCCTCTTAGCACACCATCCGAGCCAGACACGCAATATTAGAAATTTAATTGTTGGTGGCAACTCGAAATACCGACAGTTGATGCACCAGGTGGGGCCTTTTACGCGTCTCGACATCCACACCAGGCCTCAGATAGCTAGTCACAACCTCAGCTAGGTCCCAAGCGCGCACATGCGCTTCGGGGACCTAGACTTCATCGTCATGACGGAGGTAGAGTTGGCGATGGCTCCCGCCGCCGTCCAACCTCTCCACTCCGCCGGCCTCGACGTGATCGCCAAGGCGCTTGAGGAGTTGTAGCTGCACGCACCGGAGGCCCGTGCCCTCGGGAGCAACCAGCTCCTCGACTTCGACTATGGGAGGTTAGAGCACCAACTCGGCACCTTCCTAGGACCCCAGCCGTCCTGGAAAGACATGCGCCACCTCACCTTCTCGTTCGCCAACGTCATGGCGCAGCTTGCCGGAGGGGAGCCGCTCTCTCTAGCATACCTCACCCGGAGTGCCCCGACAGCGCTCCCGTTCGGTCTCCTCAACGCCGCAGAGACCAGTGGCCACCTTGTGGCACGACGCACACCTCTGTACCCCACGAATGACGAGTTCGTGGGGATGACCGAATATGTCGCGGAGTCTTTCCACGACCTCCTCGTATGAGAATCGGAGTCGCCCTCCAGCTTGGACTCTAGCAGGGGGAGCAATCACCCCTCTCGTGAGTGTTTTATGGCGGGTACCCCCGAGGGACACATCGAAAGCATCCGCGAGGAGGAGACTACCCCGACGAACGATCTCGACAACGAGGTCGAGGGTGAGACAGGGGCCCCACCCCGCCTGCGGGTGGAGCAGCTGAAGGCCCGACACCTAGAGCTCGAGGAAGCATGACTCTAGCTCGAGCAGGAATGCGCAGAGCTCAATCGGGAGATCGAGCGCCATAGAGACGGTGGGCGCACGCGCGCCATGGCCCGCAACGTGAACCAGAGGATCATCGTGGATGATGAATCCCTCCCACACTTTGCTCGGGTGAGCCAGAACATCACTGTTGTGGCAGCCTTGCTCCATGGGCTTCCGGGGCCCACGACGTCGGAGGATCGTCGGGTCCACCGCGTGATTCGCACGCTGCTGGAGCGTGCAACGGCACAGCAGGCCGAGAGCTTGCTGTCTCGGCGATGCGAGCTCGACGTCAGCCAGTGCATGCCCTCGGAGTGACCCTACAAGGATGCATCGGTCCACCAGGCACCGCAAGGCGGCAGGCTACAAGCATTAGCATCTCGGCCGCAACCGTGACGCGCGCGACACCCTCGACGCCCACAGGCGTACCCATGATGCGGGGGAGGGAGCTAGCTGCGGCTACTGTAACACCCCAGGTGTTTGTCGCCAGTTAAGCAATGGGTTTAGGCTCAACCATGACATGTTTAGTGGTGATGGAGATGTCAAGGTCAAACCTATGGAAATGAGCCCCAACCTAAACTCGGATGTTGCACCCTTGCTTTACATATAGGCCCTTTTAAAGATATATGCTTGGCTGGTGTTATTGGAATATCTTCATGTGTCTCACATCAATATCCCTCTATATTGATCACTGGAAAAGTTTCATGAAGTTTGGAATCAAAAAGTCACATGAAATGATAAGTCATATCTTTGCATTAATTGCTTTATCAAGTGGATGAAAACCTATGAAGTCAACCAAACCTTGAAACCTTGCCCAAATGACTTTAGATGAACTCTACAACAAAAGTCATGAAAGGTTCATGTTGGGCAAATGTCAAGAAAATGCCGCAATTGGTCTAAATCTCTAATTTAAGCTTTACGGTGATGCTACTTTGACTTGGTTTGAACTATGGCTTAGAGTGTTTGCATGGCAGTGAAACCTAAACAAAAGTTGAAGTTTGAGTGGAGTAGAACAAACTTTGTTTAATGCTCAAGAGCTAAATTAGTGCCTAGCTTAGTCAAATGCCGCTCACAATATCAAATCCATTGCTGTTTTCAGGGTTCGAAAATCGGCTAAGTCTGGATGACTGAATTTTCGTATTTCAGTTTTAGTGTACCTATCTTTAGCGAATTATCGTTTGAAAACCGTTGGGAATTAGATGAGACTCCTTTAAGAAATATTGTAGTACACACTTAGCTCTAGAACAGTGTAATCGGTTGATCAAATAATTGATCAGCTAGAGAGTTATGGAGGGGAAAAATCGAGTTTCAGTCGGTCTGAAACTAAACTGCTGAATTCAGTTTGGGGTGTGCTCCTTCGGACCTTCGTATATTCCAAAACAGTCTGAGTTAGCTCTCGATTCTTAAAGCAATATTGTTCACCTCGCAAAGACCTACAACTTTGCCTCTTGCTCCGTTATCAAATGACCACTGGATCAGGAGATAGAGGATGGTAAAATTAGACTTTCAGTCCTAATTTCGCAGTGGTATTGGCTTGCTGTGCTTGCACACGTTCACGGCAGACCGGCCGTAGGCGCGCAACGCCGCGTGGCGTCCTTGCTCTCTTGCATGTCCGCCACCGCACCGATCGGATGTGAACAGGCCGAGCCCGAGCGCTCGCCTCCCTACTCTCCATTCTACTCGCTTTCTCTCCCTCTGCTCGGTCTCCTTCTCCTGTCCGTTTCGCTCGCCATGACCGGGAGCTCGCAGCTGCCGTCGCTCCCTCCTCCAACCTCTCAACCTCTCCATCCCGTGACGGCCACGCTGCTCCTCCTCCACCGTCCATCGCTGGAGCGCCGCTGCTCACCGCTATGGCCGCCCGCCTCCAGCCGCCAGTGCAGTCCACCAGTGCCGTCCTGCTTCTCGGCTGCTGCGCCACTGCTGCTACCTACAACTTGGGCCAGCCAGGGCCAGGCGTGGCCATAGCTGGCCGCGGCTAGGCCAGGAAGCCCTCCTCCGTTGCCGCCGGCATGGCATCCTCTGGCCGAAATCGTCGTCCCCGACGACCTCCCTGCTGTGATTTGCGTCAGGGACCCGGTGCTTGAATTCGACAAAGGGAAGGGGCCTAACTGCATAGTCTGTGACTCATATGAATAGTGTCGTTTGGACCTATTTGTTTTAAATCGCTGAAACTTTGAAAATTCATAGTAATTTATAGGAAATTCAGAAAATAGTAAATGTGGACTTTTTGGAATCCTTGTGAAATTCTCTATGCATTAGATCTATAATATTACATGTTTTACTTTAAAGTTTTAGCTGTAAAAATATATTTATGCAGCTAGGTTTGTAATGCTAGTGGTATTTGTCTTTTTCATAACTGTAGATCTAGGACTCCAAATGAAGTGAAATTTTTGTGGCATGCTAATCATGTGATATTTGATGTGTGGTAAAAATTTCATGAGTATTGGATGAAGTAGGAGTGAGTT